GTCGAGAAGAAAGGGGCGAAGCAAGTTTGCGTGCTGACATCGGTCCACGGTAAAACTACAGTGACGGCAATGCTCTGTTACACGTCGGATGGGCACAAGCTTTGCCCGTACCTCAAATTTAAATGGAAGACGCTCCCGAAAGGAGTAGTTTTTTTCGAGTGGTGTGATCGTGCGGGCCAGCGAGAAAAATGGATGCGCGTTGCAATCGATGTCTTAGGTTTTTTTTTTTTTTCGCGGTGGAAATCGGGTGCGCGTTACAATCGAGGGCGCGGTAGAATCGAGTAAATACGGTAGTTTCCTTTTCACGTAAGATTGCCACATTTTCGAGTGGATGCCGCGGCACAATATGTTCTTCGTTGTGGATGCGTCGTTACAAGCACTCTTCCTGTTGCCAGTAGCCTTCATTGCGCAGGCGGCGAGCACGGTCACCATAAACGGATTGATTTTCTGCTGTTTGCCGACGCGCGGCGAACTTCACTCTGGTGTCCCGTCACGCAGTTCACGTCAGACGGGGGGAACCCGTGGAATTAGCGCGTTTAGTGATAAGGTTGCGCTTTTGTTCAGTCGTTGCAAAGGTTGCTATCTCTCGTAGCTTCACTTCTGCTTTTTTACTTGCCGTCCTGTAACTGCTGAAGCTCCAAAACACTGCTGCTTTCAGTGATGTTGTCGACAACCGACAAGCTCGTACGTGAGTTAGGCCTACACCGGTGACTTGACGACCGCCGTTGAACGCCGCGAGTTTGCTATCCTCTCTGTCCTGAGTGATAGCAGGGCTCTTTCTGAAGTTCATAGCGAACGAACGATCACCACACCCGCTTCACAAATTAGTGCGGTGAGGAACTTCTGCGGCAGGCAGTCGACAGCACCATGACAAAATGGCACATGTCCGTGCGCGTCACGATGAAAAAGCAAACACCGGAAATGCCACTTGGCCAATCAGGTGCCTATGTTTTGTCGCGTGCCGCAAGCAGCCAATATAATCACGGTGGTCCTTCTCGATGACGCGTTTTTGCTGAAGAACCAATGAGCAAGGCGAGCCACTGGTGGCGGGAAATTGAAGATGAACGACGACCCTTCCAAACGAGACCGATGACCACGCTAGCTCGTGTGTAACGGCAACGGTTCGGCGTGGAAAAAAGCGCGACTTTGGCGTCTATTTGTGCTCAGATTCATCTCACAGGGGTGTTATAAATTGATTTTGTGCCAGAAATAGTGACGCGAGAAGCTTGAAACTTCTCAGATAAGTGCAAAAATAGTTGCAGATTCCGAAAATGTCAACTTCAAGAAGTCGTTTCTTTCGCGATTTTCGGCCTTTTAAGGGGGGACGCGGCCCTTGAAAACCGAAAAATCGCGGAAAAGTCGGTTTCGAGGCCGCCGCAGCGTCCAAAACAGGCGCAAATCCCGAAATCAAACCAAACTTCGCGCGCGCGCCATTCCCGGACCATGCGGCCGTCCCGCGCCATCTTGGTGTTGTTTTGACCGTGAATTCTTCTCTCTCTCGTTCGCCGCCTTGCAAAATGGCGTCGGCAGCACAGTTGAGACGCTATTGGCGTTTTCCCCGCGATGCGATGCGGAGCGCTGATTGGCTAGAGCAGCGCATTCATATCTCGCGGGAGGAAAGCGTGCCCGCCATTGGCTGCTGTGCCGCAGCGGGGGCGGTCGCTCCTCTCGATGGCGCGTCCAGCGCGCTCGCTTCGTTGTTGCTCTCTGCTCCGTCCGCCTCGACAGATGTCTTCTGTAGGAGCCGCTCTTCGCCTTGTGCATCTTTTCGAGCATTTTCTCTCGTTTTTTTTCTGTTTGCACTAGTTCTGTGCCTTCGGCGTCTTTGTTGTTGCGGGCGATGCCGGCAACGAAGCCGAAGTCAGTGCGGAAGTCCGGTGCGGCGGAGGCGCGCTATGTCGGCTTGTACGATCATCGAATATTCCGCTATTCTGCTGCGGGTGCCGACTGGCGTAGACGCTTGCAGCGACGGAACTGTGTTGTCGGCTGTCGCCAGTCGAGAATCCGACACATCGAGTGTGGCTGGAGCTGCAAATGCACCGAGTGTTTCCGAGATCGCCGGGCTCGACACGTGCTCCGAATCGATGCCATCCAGTGTGACACCGAGTGCTTCTGATATCGCCGGACCCAGCACTTCGTCTGAATCGGTGCCATCGAGCGTGACACCGAGTGCTTCTGATATCGCCGGACCCAGCACTTCGTCTGAATCGGTGCCGCCATCGAGCGTGAGTGGACCGTCGCTTCATCTGCGGACGCGTTTCCTAACGAAGGAAGAAATCGATGCGAATGCGAAAAGTCGTGACGCCGTTCGCGCTGAACTCGAGTCTACGCCGGCGACGCAGAAGAAATTTCAACTGATGCAGCCGGCTCTTGCACCTGCAGTGACAAGTGAGGGCGAACATTTTTCGCTCGTTCAAATGAACATCTTTAACGTCGTGCTCAGCCGCACAGTGTGCAAAGAATGTTTGAAAGGTGCTATGACTGTCCGAGAGAGCACCAAGCTTGGACTTGCAACAAAACTTGAAGTCGTGTGCGCCTCTTGTGGCACCGTCGATAAATTATGGACATCACCCCGCAAAAAGGACACGCAGGCCTTCGATGTAAATGTCCGCGCCATAATGGCTATAAAGCAAATAGGCAAGGGGCAAACAGCTCTTAATGACTTTTGGGCTGCCATGAACGTCTCTTACAGAGGTCTTCACCACAAGACGTTTCAAAAGCACTTGAAAGAGACGTTCAGGAAGCCAGAGGCCACCGCTTTGGAGAAGTTTTATGCTGATTCTGCCACAGCAGTGATCAAAACATATAAAGAAATGGACCCCAGCTTCTGCAAGGACATCACCGTAGTGTACGATGGCACATGGCATAAGCGGGGTCACACATCACACATCGGAGTGGGATCGGTAATTGACTTCTTTACAGGTCTCATCTTGGATGCTGTAGTTCTTTCAAACCACTGCCTTGGATGCCAAACAGGGCCCAAACCTGGAGATGCAGCATACGAAAGCTGGCAGAAGCACCACATTTGCCAGAAAAACACAGACGCAAAATCGGGAAGCATGGAAGCGGAGGCAGGCTTGACTCTCTTTGGGCGGTCTGTATCCAAGCATGGCCTGCGGTACACCACTCTTGTGTCCGACGGAGACAGCCGTACCTTCGCTGCCCTCACAGAAGAGAATGTGTACGGGCTAGTGCCAATTGTAAAAGAAGAATGTCTGAACCATGTTCAGAAAAGGATTGGAAGTGCTCTTCGAAACATTGTGCAGAAAAGTGATAAGCCACTGAGTGGGAAGGGGAAGCTGACTAAAGCCCTCATTGAAAAGCTGACAGGATATTATGGTTGGGTCCTGAGAAACAATTCAACTGACCTAACAGCCATGCAGCGTGCAGTGATGGCAACATATCACCACGTCACATCGACTGACCAGGACCCTCACCATGAACTTTGCCCAGAGGGGGCTCAATCGTTGTGCCGCCATAGAGCTGCAGAGGCAAAGCGTGAGCCACAGCCGAAACATAAACACAGCCTACCGGACTATGTCGCTGCAGCTATGCTGCCCATCTACGAAAGACTGTCACAAAAGTCGCTTCTTCAGCGCTGCCTGGGAGCGAAGACGCAAAATGCATCAGAATCATTCCACTCCATTCTGTGGTCTCTGATGCCGAAGGAACAACACTCATCCTTAATCGCGGTAGAAACAGCACTGCATGAAGCAGTGCTGCGCTACAATGCCGGCTGCTGCAAAGCAACCCAAGTGATATCGGACTCCATTGGACTTCAACCAGGTCATCTGGCCATCCAGCGAGCTCGTGAAAAAGACGCTTTACGCCTAAAAAAGAATTCTAAAAGACACCAAGAGAAGATGGCGGCCAGGCACAAGAAGAAAAGAGTGCGCCAGGACACTTCTAGCTACTGTGCTGGAGCTTTTTGAAGAAAACACGTGTTTTGAACTTTCTCGGCCTGTTTTCTCAGAACGGATTTTTTTGCTAGTTGTGGTGCTGAGGAAAGCAAGAACTCGAAAACCGTTCATCAGATTTGTGTGCCGTTTTTTTTTATTCTGTTCCTGAATGACCTTGCAAGGGCATAACAAGCTCCTTTTTTTGAAAATTGGTGCTGTTAATTTATAATAAACAATTAATTTTTGATGAATCTGGTCATTACTGGTTACATCAAATTCAAAGTTGTGTGAAAATTTTGGGGGGGGGGGGAAATTAAAAAAACGGCTTTGTAGCGCCCTGGGATAGCTATCAAGGAATGACCACAATGAATTTCAGCTTTCTACTATGTCCTGGGATTTCTCACGACTCTTCCTCAGGCACCCATGTGAAGCACCCAGTTAAACCTCAATAACTCTGGAACTAAGAAACACAGCTTCGTGAAACTTAGCAGTTGTGCTAGTTTTATTGTAGTGAACAACCCCTGAAAGTTTCATCCAGATATCTTAAAAAATAAAAAAGTTCGGTCTCCAGGGTAGCCTCCCCCCTTAAGACCCGTGTCCCCCCTGCCTACAGACAGCGTCGACATTGCGTGGCGATAGGTGTCCTTCACTTCAGATTCCATATTTGAAATGTACTCCAGGATTCACCTTAATAGTGACTGGTGTTGCAGCAGTACATCCTATATGAGGCATTGATTAATTGATTTTGTCAAAAACACATGTACATTATAATGTGCATTGGGGGACCAGTTGGTATCACACTGAAACAGAAATAAAACTGTGCAGGTGACGGAACACAAGTATAAGTAGTCAACTTCTGCTTGTTTTCCATCACCCCCACAGTTTTATTGCCATTTTACCGTGTGTTTTCATTTATAAGCACCTCAAAAGAACCAGAGTTCAAAAAATTCATCAGTAGTCTACCCACCACGCCGTGTTTTAGAGTAATACTATAATTGATGTAGTTTTTCATTTGAAAAGATACTCTATTTGCTAAAATAGAGTTTTTTCACATATGTAAAGTAAAAAAAGTTTTCTACGGTGTCGGTATGGCGGTCGCAGGTTATCCAGACCTTGAACAGGGCCATCGAATGCTCACACCGGGAGGCCATAGAATACGCAACCATGGTAGACCGCGAGGGTCGCAGTGTGGTTCGAAGCTCAACTTTTCCGGATTGCTTGCAGGTAAGTGAGCCATATGCCACCAAGCGTCTTGTTGGCCAGCAACGCTAAGCATTGCAACTCTACACTAAACATTGGCCCGCAAATTACCGAGCAAAAAGATATGGGGCACAAAATTTGGCCCTGTGTCTGCATGTTTCACTGCAAATGTCGTCGAAAGATGATAATCTTCTCTCCGAAAAGAGTAAATCAAACTTTTGACGTTCTGCGTCGGAAAAATCGGTGCATGGTATTCTGGAGGCGCTGCATGAGACCTGAGCGCCATCTGGCAGTAATCTTAAAGGAAGAGATGGCCTCCGATATAGTGAAAGCGGGGTGTGTGTGCGCAATCTCGGGAGTTCAGGCAAGGCCACCGGTAGTTTGCAGCACCATATTGTCATAGCTAAAGTAACTGTATATGCTCCCTATGGGAGCAGAGTAGTGCATAGGTCCGCCATCTTGCTTGGTTAGCAATCATAGTTACGGGCAAAGCCCCGCTCTGTCTTTGCAGGCGACTTTCTTAAGCCTGATGCCAATTGGCGGAGTGTGTCACCGATCGCCAGTCAACATGCCTGTCGTGTCAACGACCGGCGAAGAAAGAAGAAACACGTGCTTTTGGGACTGTGCCACAGGAGTACAAAAGCATTTCTTAGTTTGTCCGGTGATGCAAAGCGCAAAGACGTAGCCTAGTGCGAAATGGCGTGCACTGCCATTGCCGCATGTTTAAGTGGCGCCAGCTATGGAAGATAAGCAAAAACTCAAAATATAGGTCTTCCGAGACTCGAGAAGTGCCTCGCTAAGCCTACAGCATTGATTATTTCAGTATGTTTCTCGAAAATGGTGCCAAATCCATGCAAATACTTGGCTGTTATGGTGACCCGCTACTCACCGTAGCGGAATGATCACCGCGGGTTCACGCTTAGCGAGCCACAGGGCCGCGACTCCGTCACCTACTCGCGTGTAGCGCACCGCTCCGCGCGCGCTCAACTAACAAGGCGTATAGCGCGGTGCGGCAAACAGACAGTGTTCCAATACAAAAAATACACAGCAGTTTGTTGCCTTTGGCGGCACTCCGAACAACAGTACAACGTCCGCTCCCGGGACGCGGGGAGCAAAAGCACCCACACGCAGACATTCACAATAAGGGGAAACCGCGAGCACGTCGCAGCTGGAAATGGTGAGCTTTGACACGCCAGTTGGGAAAAGGTCCTCGCGGCTATGCTGCGCACTCTCACGATGGCCACTGGGCCTGGTCAAGAGTGTTAGGGCAAACCTTGTATGCGTAGGCCTACGGCAAGTGCGGCTCGGTGTGGTACGACCACTTCAAGCACTAGGCACCGCTGTGGGCTTAGCGTACGGTACCGAAGCTAGCACTCAAGTAAACACGCCTGCCGAGGTGCCAAAGGCCACCCCAGGCAGGCTACAGTCCGGCGATTCCCAAAGGGAACGCGGACGAAGGAAAACGCATGCTTACCCGGCGCCGACCACGGAGGAGAGACAGCTCCCTCGGCGCGCATGTAACACGTGCCGCGCCTGCACTTGGTGCCATCTATTGCCACGCGCCGTTACCAGAGCAGAAAAATCAAAAGGGTGTGGCCATGTGGCGGAATGCCCGCGAAATGGTCACGGGCGCGCCTCAGATCCCCACACTGTTGAAGCTTGAGGACATGAATCTAAAGCAAATAAAAGCACCAGTTCGTAGCTAACAAGCTACAGAGCGCACAATGTTCTCTTGATAGATTTCAGGGGGATGGCGACTGCTTTCGGTGCTGCGGCCTATGCACCAGCTTCTTTGCAGTGCATGATTGCTAGCGGCATTGGAAAACGAATGCGCTACTCTGCTATTTAACGGTAGCACATAGTTTCTCTAGTCATAGCAAGGCCTAGGAAGCACCCGCCTTTTCGTGCATAGCATCCCATTGACAGCGCAGCATAATGTGCCTTTTTTATTATAAAAAAACGCACCACAGAATACTGACGCATAGATACTGTGTCTCGGATATCCGTAATATTTGCTTTCTAATCGTACAACGCGCATGAGTATGAACACAGAAACCAGATCATCAAGATTGGTGGGTTTGGAGGAAGTGGTTGAACGAGTAGATAGACAGAAATTTTTGTGTTGAAGTTTCCCAAGAAAGACTATCGTCTTAAAAAAATTATGCCATCTCCCACTAAAGGCAACCATGTGTGAATGCAAGCAGCGGGAAGATGTTTTGCTTGAGTGGGAGATGCCGCACTTTATCGAGAGCTTGTGCTGGCACTCATCGTGGCGTTGCGCAGAGAGAGAGAATGAGGTGCATTGCTCCGTCATTACACTGCGGAACTATTGTGGCGCCCCCAGTGTAGTATGCAGTTGTCGCACCATTTGTCGTGCGCGCCACTGTGTAGATTCCTAGAAGAGAGGGAGGGGATGCTCATGCGCTAAGGGGGAGGAGGGGTGGATGCCACGGGAAGGAGTGAGGGAGGGACGGACACAGTCTCCGCCATGAGCTGCTTTGCATCTAAAAAGATGTCATGTACCCACTGTATTGCTGAGAAGCCAACTAAGGATGGGACATTTACGTTCCACAGTGGCTTCCGAGATATTGCGTGCATGCAGAATCGTGAAGGCTGTAGGATCGCTCTGCTAGCTGTGAGGTGTGACTGTGGGGTGGCACAGATGTACTCAAGTTAGAAGTGTGTAGTGTGTGTCCCACTCTTATATCTTCATTTGCACTGCATTTTTACTTTAAATGTTGCAGATTTGTAGCCTCTGTCACCGTTTCATTGCTAAGAGCTGTAGGATCATAATTTTTTAGGTACATTCATGTTTGTTCTAGTAACAGTAATGGAGTTACATTGTAATAGGAGTAACTGTAATGGTTCAATAACATTGCAGTCACATGTGTTGTTACTTAAAGTAGGATGTAAAAAGTGAGAGTTATAAGTTACCCCAATAATGTACAGCCGAACCTCGATGTAAAGAACCTGGATATAACGAATTGTTGGTTATAACAAGGCAAGGGAAAAATATCTCTGTGACGCAGTGCTACAAATATATAGTTATAGCAAATTTTTGGATATGACAAAGTATTTTCGGTGCAGTTGTGATGAGGTTTGAGTGTAAATGGATAGTGGTAATGTAGTACTAGTGCACTCAAGCCTCGATATAACGAACCCGGATAGAATGAAATATGGGTTAGAATGAAGTAAATTAGGAATAGTCTTGCAATAAATATGGTGTTACGAATATTTCTTTATAACTATTTTTTGGATATAACACACTTGTTTTGCTGTGGGATGCAACTTTGTAGCACTTGGTGACCAGTTGCCAGTTACTGGTAGGTTCCCAAGACTGGAACGCGATGCTGAGAACAGTTTTCCTTGATCACCAACTTGTGTGCCACAGCACTGCGTTTGACATGTGAAGTCTCACTGCTAAGTTGTGTGCAGTTGCACATGCATTGATGATTGATTGATTGATATGTGGGGTTTAACGTCCCAAAACCACCATATGATTATGAGAGAAGCTGTAGTGGAGGGCTCCGGAAATTTCGACCACCTGGGGTTCTTTAACGTGCACCCAAATCTGAGCACACGGGCCTACAACATTTCCGTCTCCACCGGAAATGCAGCCGCCGCAGCCGGGATTCGAACCCGTGACGTGCGGTTCAGCAGCCGAGTACCTTAGCCACTAGACCACTGCGGCGGGGCCAAGGGCGTAGGTAGAAATTTTTTTCGGGGGAGTGGAGGAGAGACCTTCTTGTTATTGGAGAGGGGGCACCCACTTGTAATTGTCATGTATCGTTATGTATCCCATGGCGAAAAAAATTCGATGGGGGGGGGGGGGTGTAACGGCCGGTGTGCCACCCCTGACAACACCACTGGTCTTAAGTGCCAAAACCGCGGTGTGATTGGAACGCAGGCCATAGCGAAGAGGGATCCGGAAATTTCGACCATCCGGTGTTCCTCGATGCACACTCAAACCTATGTAACATTTCGCCTCCGAAATGCAACCGTCGCAGCCGGGATTGATCCCGTGAGATTAGGGTCCGTAGCCAGACGCCGTAACCGTGGTACCAACGACGTGGACACCAGTGGAATCAGAGGCCACGAGAAAGGGGGTGCAAAAGAAGCGGGGAAGTTAAGTAGACGTCGTCAAATGCGATCGATTAAAATCAAACTATTTTTTTTTTATTTTCCAGGAAACAGACATGTTTTGAAGAGGTGAGGGTCCTTGGATAAAAAGCTGTCATGAAAAACTTGGCTGGTCCAAAGAACCCTTTACAAGGCAGATGAAATGTCTCGCGCGAGAAACAATATGAAACAGATACATTTATGACTTATTACACCCTTTTTTTTGCGTCTATGTGTGTGTTGATGTGTGTCTATGTGTGTTGATGATTGATGTCTATGTGTGTGTTGATGAAACTGCGCAGGTGAAGCAGACCATCGAGAGGATCACGTCGCGGCACGGCGGCCGTCCCCTGAGGGTTCTGGTGATGCACTCATCGGTTGTGGCACACCAGACGTTCGCAATGCGGCTACTCGGCTGGCTACAGGGCTTCCTTGCGCAATGCCAAGGTCAGTGACTTTGTTTTGCTGGCACAGGAAAGTATTTATCATGTTTTACAACGAGATTACACATTGCCTTTGCATACTTTTTAATGACCTTTTTTAGATGTGAAGCAACTTATAGTCGAGCTCAATCGAGTGTGGGGCCACCCTTACTGTTCATGTGCGGGGTCTCAAGCATTGCCAGAACGCGCTGGAACATTCGGGCATGTGTAAGGGGCTGTGGCTCTTGGCAATCATCTGCTGGAGTATGGGAACGAGATTCTGCTGACGCGCGACAAACCAACACAATGTATCCTAGTCAGAACGCGTTGGCACGGGATAGCGTGTTCTCTCCCTCACACTCTCTCAGCAATCGCGTGATGGCGTCAGGGAGTGAGATTCGGGAGACGTGTGATGAACAAATGTGCTCCTGTGTGGCGGGACGATGAGCCCGCGTGGCATGCTCCAAGAAGAGTTTGGGACGAGTAACATCAACAGAAACTACACTGAGTTCATGGTGTGCTCGACTTGCAAGGAGACACGTTAACATCGGGCAGGGTGCGTGTGATGAATGGAAATTCAAGTCGACCCATGCGCTGCTTTGCATGCTTCTCAGGGTTCTCTTAAAGGGAGATGGTGTAATTTTTTTTTGTGTGTAATCCTAGGGAGGGAACTTTTTCTGGCAGACCTAGTGTCTTAGGATTGCACCCGTAGGTTTACTGCTCAGCTGCCGTCTCTTGCGACGACCACATGCCGCGTAATACCCTCTGGCAAAAAAGTGTGTTCCACACTTGCCGCTGTGCTTATGAGTGGCGCGGGCTAACACTTCCAGTCATTAGACTTGCAGAAATGCCCACGGAAGTAGACAGGGAAAGAGTCTTCCGTTGTAGCTCAGTTGGTAGAGCATTGGATGCATAATTTGAATGTGGGGGTTCAAATCCCATGAACAGAAAGGTTCTTTTACGTGTGGAGCATGTTATACTAGGGGCTAGTCATGCGCCGTTGCCGTCCGCAGCCTCCCCTCCTCCTCCGCCAGCCATCTGTGCATCCCTTCCTCCTCTCAACACAGCGCGCTGCGCTCGCTTCTCCCCTCCGCGCGCCGCGCGACCTTTAGTTTTTTACGTGCGCCAGCTGTATGCTAATGCGCGCATGCGCAGGTCCGAGCCAGTGCTCGCTATAAATAACTGAGTGTCGGGGCGCGCCCCCCTTCGTCGGTTGGTTAGTGAGCTAACTGCGATGGAGCGTGTCGATCTAGTCAACAATGACCCCGTCGCGTGTGCCATCTACACCAACAGAATTTTTCAAGTCATCATGAACATTCTGGGAGACAGGCGCTGCTCGCCCTTCAAACCCTACGTGGTCGTCGATTACTTCAAGCGAGTCGAGTTTCAACAGCGAGGAAGTGCACACGTCCACACGATTCTCTGGCTCGACAATGCTCCGAGGGAAGACTTTTCCGGCGACGACATGCCCGAGACGTTGAAGATGGTCGAATCTCTCGTCACGCTGGACATTTCCCTTCTGAGACGACCGTGACCACAGACCCACGCGCACACGCACACCTGCAACAAGCACGGGCGAACAAAGTGTAGGTTCGGCGCTCCCTTCATGCCCAGCAACCTTACCCGGATCGTTGTGCCGTTTCCTAAGCTGGACGACGACGACGCCTCCGGAGCCAAGCGTCAGGCGCTCAAGCGCAAGTTCGACGAGATGCATGAGGCGCTGGAGGCGGGCGAATACGACTCGCTGGACGAGTTACTGCGCACGTTCAAAGTAACGACCGCAACGACAACCCTTCGTGATAGTTGGCGACTTCAACGTCGACGTCATCAACGACGATACGGTGGTCGACTACATGGAGTCGCGGCACTCGCTGAAATGAGCAACGCACGCCGGCAAACATCATCTGACCACGGTTCGTGGGACGTGCATCGACCACGTCTTTGCAAATTTCGACCTTCGACCGCTGCAACCAGACCCACTCACCCTTCACTTCACGGACCATAAAGCCATCTTGCTCAAAATACCTAAAGGGTCTCATCAATAAACAATGTCTTTCGCAGCGTACGTGCATGCGTGTTCACTCGTGTTCACTCATAACACACGCATGTCGCAAATTACAAACCACATTTATCGCAGTTCAACATGCGCAGTTCAACATGCGCAGTTCAACATCGCAGTTCAACACTGGTTAGCATGCTCCGCATGCTAACCAGTGTTTCCACTCGGGAAACTGCGGTCATTTTTTTTCTCCCACTTTAATTAACTTTGGTATATGTTGTAATTACGATACTACATTTAATCACGACAAGTTGTGTCCTCTACACTTTTCTTGGCCTGTCTTTTGTCTCACCTATATTCGTTATGCTGCATTCGTCCAAGGATCTTGACACCCCTATATATGCTACTGGTACAGGGATGCTCAGCAACGACTAGCCAATAGCCCATTTAGTGCCATTAGCTTTAATACCATTATTGGTGTGGCGGTTTGGGCTAGTTGGTATGACATAACGGTAGATATAGGGCGAGAACAGAACGACGACAAAGGGACAAGAAGGAGACTAGCACTTTTTAGCGCTCATCTCCTTCTTGTCCCTTTGTCGTCGTCCTGTTCTCACGCTATATCTACTGTCATACCATTATCGGGTTTATGGGTGGTCTGCAACAACTGGCCAACAGCCCAGTGACAAGTTTGAACAAACAGTAAATTTATTTTCCTCGCAGCGTTTCGCCTGATTCTGAGTGACGTGATGATGGCGCCAACGCCCGTGGAAGGCTTTGCGCTGGTGCGCTGCATCATGCGCTCAGACGCGCAGCTCTGGAAGACGGCGCGTGCCCAGTGGCACCAGATTCTCATCGGAGGCATGCTTATGGACGGACGGTGCAAGCAGGACTTTGCCCGGGCATTCACGCGCGACTACCCGGACCTGCTCAAGGAGTTTGTGGCCGATGACCACGAGCACCCTGTCTCCATCACATCCCTGTCGGTGCAGATCTTCACTGTGCCCACGCTTGCACACCTCCTCGTTGCCGAAGAAGACGCCATTGCCGTCCTGCTCAGGTGGGTAGGCCTGTCGTGTGTTTAGTGCGATGCTCATTGTATACCGATCTGTATGCACACATACCATGTTTTCTCATGTATAGCCCGCACAAGAAGTGCAAACAGTGTGGGGTTGAAGTGTGGCTGTGAATTTTGCAGGAGTTTCGATGTGCATTGTCGATTCACGGCAGTGCAAGGAAAGTACCATTGACAGTGGCAGCTTTAACTGGCTGTAGGTGAGAACTGGTTAGTGGCACTTGTTATTGAAACAGAATGAAAATAAGTTAAATAATGTTTCTTCAACGTTCAAGCATAATTAGCGGGGTTATTCTGTCAAGGTGTAAAGTTAGTATGCACAGTCGAAATGACACACAATTTATAGGGTGTCTTTCGCATGTCTCATGATTGTCTTGTATTCTGCAATTTCATGTCGTTTGGTGGTGCGTTATGATGTTTTCACTATGTTCAAAACGCTGTAATCAGTAGTTTCACATCGTGTCTAGTTATACAAAACCCTGTAATCTGCAATTTCACATCGCTTGCTGGGTGTATCATGACGTTTGCAAGGTGTCGCAATTTCGTACATCTAGCTGTACGAAACGTGGTCTGCTTCGAGTAGAGAAGCCCACTTATCGAAATGATGGTTCTATTGACATTACCAGTTCAATGATTTCTCATCGCTTGAGGACTCCATCCACTTGTGAAGCCTTGTGCTGTCTACAGTCGAACCTCGATATATCGAACGGCGCGGCGATCGCGAAATAGTTCGATATATCCAGAATTCGATATAAAAAAATCACGAAAAAAATGCGTCAACAGCTTGCTGAAAACGACCAACGAACCGTTCAAGCAAGGTGCAGTAAATACTCACTTGAAGATTCAAACATAGTATTTATTGTGTTGGTTTAAAATATTGAAAAAGAGTAGCCTGCTTTTTGTTGGCCATGGCGTGTTTGACGACTGCGTCCTACATATAGTCCAGGCGATCCATAAGTGATAGGCCGGTGCCTTCAATCGCGCCGCAGTGGCGGCGCACAAGGGCCATGGCAGCTACGACCTCAGCTGATGTCGGGAGCGGGGCACCATCAGCACTTGCGGGATCCACCTCGGCAAAGTCTTCATTTGGCTGCTCAGCAGTAGCTTCGGCGACAATCTCCACATCCGTGAGCTCCGCCGTTCGGAGTTAGGCCTGTCGCGCACCACAGCGCGCGACAGGCCCTACTCCGAACAGTGCGCGACAGGCCTAATTCCGAACGCACGAACACTGCGAGCACAACGACCGATGCCTGCCGATGCTACGGGGGAGGAGCTTGCAACAAGTGCGCAGTGTGCCGTTGACACCATAGAGACTGCAAGCTGCAAGCGGCGTGAGTCCGGGTGTAAAGTGCGCACATGGCGCGCCCATGCCGGCTCGCCTGACTGCTTTCCCTTTCCCGGCGGCAGTGCGGGCCGCGTCCGAGACAGTCGTCTGCGTCCTTTCCCTCCTATACTTTCCTCCTCAATCTTTACCTCCCACTCCCCCTTCCCCCGCGCGAAGCCGTGTCGGTGCCTTCGTATTGAAAGAAAATAACAGCTCCGCGCTTTTCTCTTCACTTTCCTCATTCAAGAACCTCTACCGCAAGGCTGCGGCGCGCGTACGCCGCTACGTTAAAGTGGCGCTCTCGGCGCCATCAATGTGTGCAGAATTCGTAAACGCCCGCCGCTCTACCGCTACTTTCGAGAGTTGCGGGAAAGCTCGCCGCCTGTCAATGGAGCGCGGGCGGTTTGGGGTGGCTGAGTTCGATATATCCATTATATGTCAAACTTTGTTCGAAATAAAAAATCAATAATGCATGCGATTTCCCGCGTGATATAGGAACCGTTCGATATAGGCAATAATTCGATATATCCGTGTTCGATATACTGAGGTTTGACTGTATAAGTTTACTGTGGTTGGAGCACATAAAATCCCCAGAATACATTTTGTTCATTCAGGGCGTTCCTGTCCGAGTGCGAGAAGCATCGGAACCCTGAGGGCAGGCTGGCGTTCGAGCGAAACCATGCCAACGTGGCCTTTCGGCGGGCTCAGTTTGTCCTGTACGACCTGCGCTACATCCTGTCGGTGCCTCCTGACGTGTGGACCGACAAGCTGCGCAAAGGCTTCCTGTACGGAATTTCGTCGCTGCTCAATCTCCTCACCTGGATGCAGGGAATGGACTCTGTTGTTCGCCAGGTAGGGTGTGTTCAGGTAGACTTAGAAGAAAAAATTGTTGCCTTATTCTCATTGTTTTTCAAGTAAGGTTCAGGAAGGGCATATTCTGTATTTCAAATTTCTGTATATGGAACTGTTTCCTTCAGGTTTGGTATGTCGAGGTTCGACCGTATTGGCTTAGCAATTGATTGATCACATGTCTAACTGACTTAATGACTTACTTTATTCATTTACTTTACTTAGTGACCTTACTTGGTCTACTGACTTGACTTGGCTTATTAGGCTTGACTTGCTGACCTAACTTATCGACTTGACTTGCCGACCTGACTTATTGGCTTGACTTGCTGACCTGACTTACTGACTTGACGTGCTGACCTGGCTTATCGACTTGACTTGCTGACTTTATTTATTGACTTACTGGCTTGGCTGTCCCTGTGGTGGAGGATTAGCAAGGCAACCGAAAAGGTGGTGGGAGGTTCGCCACGTAGAGAACAATCAGGGGAAGTGCCACTTAAGCTAGAGAGAATGTGAGGTTTCGCTCTTGTCTGGGGACCCGGCATTGTGTGACTTGGGCTGCCGGTATCATTGCGGCGACAGGCGTGGCCGTGTAGACGTGGCATCGATCCAAACACACTAGCTAATAAAGTTTTTCTGTCTGTCTATTACTGACTTGGCATGCTGCCTTGTCTTGCTGACTTTATTTTCTGGCTTGACTAACTGACTCGACTTACTGGCTTACTTGATGACTTGCCTACTCCATTTCTGGCTTCATTTTCTGGCTTGACTCACTGGCTTGATGACATACCTACTTGATTTACTGACTTGGCTTTTGGCACTTACGCAGGTGGGACAGCATGTTGAGTTTGAGGCCGAGTGGGAGACCGGCATCAACATCCAACTCAAGCTGGCGCCAGTCGTTGCCCTGGCCCTGGAGTGGTGCTCGCGTGACCGCGAGGTGGCCATCAAGGCTTTGCGCAAGGCGCTCCGAGCCCTCGAAGGGGCCCAGGGTCACATGACAGCCGTAGGGCGCGAGCTGGCCGACCACTCGGCCTCGTGCGTCGACTACGACGTCTCCACTGGCCCCGTCTCCATCCACCTGCCCCTGTCGCGCTTTGTGGCGGGCCTGCTCCTTTGCCTGGACCGGTTTGGCCTCGGCTACGACTCTCACGAGTTCCAGTTCCGGGGCAAGCCGACACCCGAGCAGCTCATGGAGCTCCCGCTGCGGACACAGGTAGGTCGTTAAGGCGGCGAATACAGAGAAGGAATTACATAACCATTCCACCCAAAGAAGGCACGGTACGAGCAGAGCTGTACAGTATGCGTGGATTGAAACAAAAATTTAGGGCTTAGTAAGGCTCATACACTCAAACCTCGGTAATACAAACCAGGATGTAAGGAAATGTCGGTTGTAACAAATGAAGTGGAGAATGATCTTGCAATAGACATTGTGTTAGGAATCCACCTTTATAACGATTCTTGGATATAACAAACTTAGTTTTGTGTAAAATGCTACTTTGTTATAAAGAGGTTTGAGTGTACTGTAGGCTCTCGGTAAACGGAACATGAAGGGACCGGGAAAATATATATTTACAGTAAAAGCTCGTTAATTCGGATTTCATGGGACCGGAAAAACTGTCCGAATTAACCGAATGCCGAATTAACGGATGAACAGGGAAAACATTTAAAATCAAGCTGCAGAAGCATACCTTTATTTGTTGAAGTATTTTGTAATTGTCGTCTGCGTTTTCGCGCAGATTCCGGCTGACATCACAATTTTTCTTAACTGTTCCAAATGGCCAACAGCACGCAAGCTGTCCGGAGTGTTCAGGCAAGCGTCCTCTAATATTAACAGCGCCTCCGAGACTTCCCGTGAGGTGCGATCAGGTCGCGGCTGTATCTCCTCGCATGATTCTTCGTTGGAATCGTGGTCTTCATGGACGCCCGTGACATTATTAATAATCTCTTGATCGGTCAGGAGACCACTCGTGGCGACACCATGATCAATCGCGATGTAGTCCTGAAAGGTCACATCTGTGGGAAGGACAGCATCGAAAGTCGGGCAGTCATCGTCGGTGGACTCGGCTGACACCTCCTCGATGCCATCGTCGGCTACTGCTGCATGTTCGGGCCTCACGAAACCGCTGTGCCGAAAACAGTTGGCGATGACTTGCGGCGGAGTGTTTTTCCACACGTGGGCGATGATGTGCACTGCGCCGAGTAAGTCCACTTGATACAAATTTCCAGCTTCTGAGCATAGGATCATTCGCTCTAGCAGGTGCTTGCGGTACTTCGACTTCACGTAGTGAATGATACCCTGGTCCATCGGCTGAAGAGCAGACGTAGTGTTGGGCGGCAAAAAAACTGCTTTGAGGCTCTTCAGTTCGACTGTACAGTTATGGGCACTGCAGTTGTCAACAACCATAATTATCTTGCGGTCCTTCGACGTGAAGTGTCGGTCGAACTGCTGCAGCCAGCCGCGAAAAATGTCCGATGTCATCCATGCCTTCCTGTTCGCTGTGTACTCGACAGGAAGGCTTTTGACTTTCTTAAAACAACGTGGCTTAAGCGCCTTCCCGACGACAAGTAGTGGCAAGCGCTCCGTGCCAGTCATATTGGCGGCAAGAAGCACAGTTATTCTTTGCTTGCACTTCTTGCCACCAATGCACGCGTCCCCTTTGAAAGTCACCGTCTTGTCGGGCAGAGCTCTGAAAAATAGAGCAGTTTCATCTGCATTGAACATGTCACGTGGTTCATGTGCGGCGATGTGCTCCAGCAGCTTCACATTTCTCCACTCGGTGGTCACGCTTTCGTCAACACTGGCCTTTTCGCCGCACACACTCCTGAAGACAAGTTCGTGTCTCTCTCGAAACCTCGCAAACCACCCTTCTGACGCTTTGAACGATTCAGTGTTCATCATTGCAGCGTACTTCTCACCTTGCGCCATGATGAGAGGTCCGCTCAAAGGCAGATGCGCGTTGCGACAGTCAGTAATCCATCGGAGCAAAGCTTCTTCGAGCTGGGGATGAGCTGCGGTTCGCAACCGCTTTCTAGAGGCATGAAATTTCTCGCTTTCGAAGGCTTGTCGAATCTGTTGTTCATTTTTCACGTACGTTCCCAACGTGCTCCGCTTCACGTTGTACTTGGTCATAACCTGCTGTCGCGATTCGCCGTTCTTCAGTGCTTCCAAAATTTCCACTTTAGTCGCCAAGTTTTTCGCGTCGTAGTTCTGCCGCTTTTTCGGCGTTGCCATCACTGTAGCGCACGATGGTGGTGGCATACAAATACGGTCACAATGGAAGAAAAAGAGAACTCCGCAAGAAGAGATGGTTCCGACACGACAACACAAGGGAAAATGGCGTCGGAGGCGCTGAGTGGAGAAGAAACAAGACGCCGACGTTCGGTGACGCTGCGATCGCCCCCACTAGTTGATTATGATGGCGATGCCACTCAGGTTTCGGTTTCACTCCAGTGGTGCCAGCGCTGCTTTATCACACTTTTGTGTAGCAGCAGCCGTCAGCATTTGTCCGAATTAAGCGGTGCGGAGCCGAATTCTGACGAAATAACGAAGGTTTGGTCCCATAGATTAACATGCACTTTGGCCGGGACCAATAGAGCCGTCCGAATTTCTAAATTAACGGGTGTCGAATTAACGAGCTTTTACTCTATTTATTTCAACATACTGCAGCCCCAACGGGCTATCGCAGCAGTGGGCTAATACAATACACGAAATAGCAACACAGTTGTGAAGAAATACAACACACAAAAGAGCATAAAAAAAACTCGCTAAACATCATTGATTAGTAATATACAATAAGAAGCCATCAAGTGATGAAGATCGAACATACCCAGGCAGAGCATTCCACAATTCTATAGAATGAAAAAAAAAAAATGATGAGAAAAAGTAGACATGTTTAACTTATGGTAATGTCGGGTGGTTGTTGGTCTAGCAGGTGCGATGTACTTGCCGAGTAGGGGAATCGTGTAGAGTGAATTGAATAATAAAGAAATTTCAAGCATTTAACTTGTCAACAAGAAGAGAGACTGGTAAGCTCAAGAATTGGAAGGTGGGAATTGGGTGAAAGATACCTGTCATAGCAACGATAAATGAAACGTACGGCTTTCTTCTGAACAGATTCTATTTTGGTGATGTCAGAAATTTTGTGCTGGTGCTATACAAAGAAGCCATATTCCAATATTTGACGAAACAAAGATTTGTATATAAGAAGTCGAATGCCGAGAGATGCTGAACGTAATGTGCGTTGCAGGTAGCCTAACTTTCTAAGCCCACGGTTACACGTGCATTCATTGTGATGAGACCAAGATGAACACTTAGTGATAATGAGACCTAGATATTTATATTGCAAAACTTTTCCAAAAGGGTCCCCATTTGACGAATGGGTAAATGGAGAGGGGGAAGAACATTTCGTAAATGCCATGGGGACAGTTTTCCGGAAGTTTATTTGCATTTGCCAAGTGTCACACTATGATTGAAAAGACGTGTAGGAATCATTAAAGGTGATCTGGACATGAGAAGTTCTAATCGTATGGTACAAAACTCAGTCATCTGCATACATGCGGATTTTAACAGGAATACTTGGCAGATCATTAATGAAAATCAGAAACAAGAGTGGGCCTAATATTGAGCCTTGGGCTACGCCAGATGTTACAGTGTAAGCAGAGGAATGAGATGACCTAAAGAGTATGTACTGAGACCTATTAGATAGAAAAGAAGAGATCCACTTAACTAATGTCTGGGTTTTTAAGAATAACAGTGAGCTTATTATAATGTGACTCCATGTCGAAAGCTTCAGAAAAATCAATGAATATTGCGTCAACTTGATCACCTGCAACAAGGGCCTGGAGGATGTCATGAGAAAATTCACTGAGCTGGGTTATGGTACTAAGCCCGCGTCGAAAACCGTGCTGGGCATCGGATAATACATCATTACAGTCTAAGAGTTCAATGATATCTTTGAAAATTATGTGCTCAAGTATTCAAGGGGAGGTGCTCCTCGAAAAACGTTTTCTTCAGATATTTGTGACAGCTCAATGAAACTTTCACCAGTTAAAGAGTTGGAGCTCTTCTTTTCAAATCTGCTTTTATTTTTTTCATGGCTCATTTAGTCAATTTTTTGTAGACCATGCATTTGTAAAAACAATGCATTCTTGTGCGAGCTTAGGCAACAATAGTAATCACAAGAAAGCTCTAAAAAATAGCCAATTTTGCTCCTAATGAATTGCAGAATTCAATAAAGCAAAGAAACATTGTGTAACATTTGTGTGCTAGCCTAGAAAAAATTTCTGATGCTGAATTTGAGCTTTACTATACTCAAGGAACAAGCTTCTGAAATAATCCAGCTGAATATGCTTTGGAGACCTCTGAAAGTTGTTTATTTGAATTCAGGACATGTTAAACTTTAAGTATGCCAAGTTTCATTGCAATCCGACTACGTAAAGCGTACAAATTATAGTGCACAAGCTCTAAGAACGCCGAAAAATGAGGAACTGAGAAAAAGCAGTTTGAAAGTTCAAAAACATGTTTAATACTATACTTTTCAACCAATCTGAATGAAATTCACAGAGAATGTCGGCAAAGCCATCTTGAAAAAGTTGACAGTTTCAGAATAATCCAGCGCTATATATTGGACCCTTACAGTCTCTGCAAGCTGTCTCCTCCCGACGCGCATTTTTTTTTTTTTCGGTACTGCGGCAATGGGCCGTTGCTCTCGGGCTCATTCGAGGTTTTGGCGGTGGTATGCATCTATATTTTTTTTTGCGAATGGCAGTTCTTGTTACGCACCGGTTTTTTAACACCAACGATTGCATAAAACCCGCACAAGCTGCTTGTGTCCGACGCCGATCGCACGCGGTGCGACCACCGACTTCACGCTCACAGCGAAGCTGTCCTGTGCACTACCGCTGGCGGACGTCTCCTCGCTTCCACTGCATGACGGATACACGCGGCTTGACGCATACATGAACGAAACAGCAGTTGCAGCACATGCGTCATTTCGGCGCTTAAGTTCAGAAAACAAATGCCAGTCCTTATCGTCTACTTGCCATTACTCGACAGCTCGCACCGCCCGCAGTTGGAGCATACTACGCCACTGATGAGGTTCTGCATCGCATCGGTCTCCAAAATAAATGTGCTTCCGCGTTCGTCCTGACACTTGCTTTAGTCGTCGAACATCTTTATCTTTCACTCTGAAGCGCTGACGAAGTCTTCGACGG